CGCGAGTGGTTCGCTCGCCGCTGGAGGCGTGCTGCTGCGTCTGGAGGTGCTGCTGGAGCTGGAGCTGGAGCTTCTTCGACCGTCGAGGGTGCGGGTGCTACCGGTCCCGTAGCTGCTGGACCTGCGGGTCCTCCTGGAGCTGGAGCTGCTGAGGGCGTTGGTGCTGAGCCTACTGCTGTTGGTCCTGCCGCTGGAGGTGTGGGTGGCGCTGGTGCTGTCGCTGAGGGTGCTGGTGCTGTCCCTGCTGAGTCTGGAGCTGCCGCGCGGCCTCGGCCGTACTTCGTTCCGCTCCTGGAGCAGGTTCTTGGTCTTTCTCCTCCAGTAGAGGGTCCACTGCCTGTCCAGTCGCAGTCCCTGCTGGAGCCTTCCTCTCCACTGCCTGCTCCCTCTCCTTACACTGGTCCTACTGGAGGTCTTGCTGAGCGTCGTGAGCCTGCGTCTCGTCCCGCGTCGCCTGTTCGTGCTGCTCGCGCTAGTGGTCGCAGTTCGCGTCAGCGTCCTCCTCCTGTCCCTGGCACGCACCGGATGTCTTTGCGCCCGTCCACTGCTCCTCTGCGTGCCCCTTTGCCTTCTCCTCCTGAGTCCTCTCTTCCTGCGCTTGCCGACCCTGAGTCGGACTCTCTTTGTGCTGCCAGTCCTACTGTCACGCGTCTGCTTGCTACTGTCGTCACTGACCCCTCTTTTGAGTCCACTGCTGCGTCTGCTCTAGTCGCTGAGCTCGTCGACTTTGCTGCTCGCTGTCGTCTCGACTACGCTGCTAGTCTTGTTGCTGAGTCTGCGTCTGTCTGTCCTCCGTCCGTCGGGGGTGAGTGTGCTCTTGGCACGGACGTCCTAGAGGACAGGCAGGAGGAGTTACAGTGTCTAGCGGCTGCTTCACCTCATCTCGCGTCTGTACTGCTTGCCCCTGAGGGAGACCCGGATGCACTAGACATCCCGACTCCGCGTTCTTACGCGGAGGCCGTAGAGGGTCCCGACTCCTCTCAGTGGCAGGCAGCTATGGATGCAGAGATGGCTTCCTGGAAGTCCACAGGCACCTACGTTGACGTGGTTCCCCCTCCTGGGGCGAACATCGTCAGTGGCATGTGGATCTTCAGGGTGAAGCGGCCGCCGGGCTCTCCACCTGTCTTCAAGGCACGGTACGTTGCTCGTGGCTTCAGTCAGCGGCAGGGAGTTGACTACTTTCAGACCTTCTCTCCCACCCCGAAGATGACTACTCTTCGGGTGCTGCTGCACATAGCCGCTCAGCGCGACTACGAGCTTCACTCTCTCGAATTCAGCACTGCGTTCTTGCAGGGTAGCCTGCACGAGGAGATCTGGCTTCGCCGTCCACCTGGCTTCACTGGGACTTTCCCTCCTGGCACCCAGTGGAGCCTCCGACGGCCAGTCTACGGTCTCCGCCAGGCACCGCGTGAGTGGCACGACACACTGAGGACTACGCTTGCGGCTCTTGGGTTTGCTCCTTCTACTGCTGACCCGTCGCTGTTTCTTCGCACCGACACTTCCCTGCCGCCGTTCTACATCCTCGTGTACGTCGACGACTTGGTCTTTGCCACAGCGGACTCTGCTGGACTCGCCTACGTGAAGTCCGAGCTGCTGAAGAGACACACGTGTACAGACCTGGGTGAACTGCGCAGCTACCTTGGCTTGCAGATCACTCGGGACAGAGCACGCCGCACCATTACCTTGACTCAGTCACACATGGTGCAGCAGGTCCTTCAGCGCTTCGGCTTTACGTACTCCTCGCCTCAGGCCACTCCTCTGCCTACTCGCCACTCACTCTCAGCTCTGCCTTCGGATGAGTCCGTAGAGTCGAGTGGTCCGTATGCAGAGCTTGTTGGCTGCCTCATGTACCTGATGACCTGCACACGACCTGACCTTGCATACCCTCTGAGCATTCTTGCACGCTATGTTGCTCCTGGGAGACACAGACCAGAGCACATGGCTGCAGCGAAGAGGGTATTGCGCTACCTGTGCAGTACGTCGGGCATGGGGCTAGTGCTTGGAGGGCGGAGTCCAGTGGTCCTTACCGGCCACGCGGACGCTTCTTGGGCTGACGACCAGGCTACGCAGCGGTCGTCACAGGGTTACACCTTCAGCCTTGGTTCCGGCTCTGTCTCGTGGCGGTCTACTCGCTCGTCTTCGGTTCTCGGCTCCAGTTGTGAAGCTGAGATCTACGCCGGGGCCATGGCTGCACAGGAGCTTCGCTGGCTCACCTACCTGCTGACTGACCTTGGAGAGCCGCCTCGTTCTCCTCCAGTGCTGTACGTAGACAACAAGGCCATGCTGGCCTTGTGTCGAGAGCAGCGCTTGGAGCACAGAACGAAGCACATTGCTCTCCGCTAATTCCTTGCTCGTGAGCTGCAGCAGCGTGGTCAGTTGCGACTTGCGTACGTGGCCTCTGAGGCCAACACTGCTGATGTGTTCACCAAGGCACTCGCGCCTTGTGACCATCAGCGCTTTTGCACCCACCTGGGTCTTGTACCTGTCTTGCCTCACTTGCTCTCCTCTTGACTTCACTTGTACTGTGCCATATATATATACCTGCTCTTGTTTGTCTAGTTTTATATATATGTCTGTACTCCTGCATGCGAACTGGCCTCTGGCCCTGCTCTTGTGCTCGGACTGTGTGGTGACTTTGTGATCCACCCTGAGCTTGCTTTGCTTTGCTTTGCTTGACTGGTCTTGTGACCCCTTGTTCTCCCTCACTTTGCCTATGGGGGTGTGTCAGATTATCATAGTTGATGCATGTTTGTAGGCTATAGTGGGGTAGCACATATGGGGTACAGCTTTCTAGGGTTGTATTTGTACCCAACCCTGACTTAGTCATTTCATTCCTGTTCACTTGTTTCACAATGTTGCCATCAACAGCCTTCATGTACTCAAACTGTGAAGCAAAACTTTTTCGAAGTTTAGGGTTCCGCGCGAAACTGGGTCATGTTACGCCATCAGCCGCAGTGTCAGCGAGTTTTGACACTCCAGCCTCAAGGCGCCATATCCGAACCGTCCGTTTTTGGTGACTCGTAGTCATTCGGGTGTTCGATTCCCTCATTTTTTCATATAGAAGTTTCACTTGGTTATGTTGCGATGGCAACGTCGCATGGTTCTTTGACAATTAATGACCGAACACTTGCGACAACCGTAACCAAGCATTTTCGAACGGATGGTCTGGAAACGATCCGTCAGGGAAAATATGGTTACGCGCCCTGGTTCTTGCTTTCTTGGTCATTTGTTCACTCGTGTGGTTCGAAGCTGAGCAGAAAAGAAGCGAGTGCTTGGTTGGAACTTGGAGGAAATATGACCATTGCACCCGTCCACGAGAAAGAGGTGTCGAGCTGGAGTGCACGATATTTCTGCAGTACAGCGGTCTGCCATCGTCATCATGACTCGAGAGTCATGTTGGCTGCTGACGTGTCACGCGAAGTTGCGAGCTTACCCGCGAAGGAGGAGCTATCGCTGCGTCACACGCACTACTAGGCACAAGCGTTATGCTTCTCATCAATGGCTTTGTCTGCCGTGGCAAGTCAGATCATCTCAGTCGCTTCCCTCCCATGGGTCAACGTGGAGGAGCGTTGCCCCGTCGTCCGACGATGACCGCACTGGTCGTCGTCGTCGTCGCGCGACGTCGGGTCGCGCTGAGTCATCTCAGTGGCGCTCCCAGCTCCACGCGCATCACACGCGAGGCCTCCTCTTTGTTGGCAAGAGCCAATAGCTACCGTTTGTCGTCCGCTGCGGCAGTGGAGGCTGCGGCTCGCGCTGTGTCCTCTTTAGCGATTTCGAAACAAGCACGCTCGTATAAACAACCTTTGCCAACACAGCGCAAGCGACGGCGACCATGGTTTAGCCACCATCTCGTGCTCCGCCACTTCCATCGTCCCGCAAGACGATCAATACGGCAGTCAGGCATTGCAGGCCCATTTCGAAACACCGTGACCTCCATGTCCAGTCTAGTTTCAAAACGCTGAAAATCTCCCTATTAGTTGGTTGATTCGTGTCCGCCAAGGCGTTTCACCACAGTCAAGTTTCGATTGGGAGTGCAAAACTTGGAAACGCAGGCTCAGTTTTCCAGGCGGCGGCCCGAGCAAAGCAGCCATGACAGCAGATTCGAGAATTCTCAGAAGTGTCGGAAGCGCATGCACAGCCGTGACTCCACTGCCGCTGCATCAGCAGCCGTCTGCACGATTCCTTCACCCTCACCACTCCTCCACTGCAGTCGTTGCTCAGCTTACCACGTCTTGCCCTTCTTTCCGTGTGGAGAGTGATGGGCGACCGAGACCGGCGCAACTTCTCCTTCTCCTTCCCTCCGCCGCTGCTGCACCTCCGCCTGCCGCTGCTGCTGCTGGCAGGGCTGCTTCTGCTGCCGCCGTGCCCTGCTGCCGCCACTCGCATCAACGACGCCCAAGGTCGCTCGCTCCTCCCCCCTACGTGCACCTCTCATCGCCTCTCACTTTCCTCCTCTCTTCCTCACTGTACCCCACTCTACCAAACTCCACTCTTTTCCTCCTGCTCTCTCCAACTCGCCCCCTCTTACCCGCTGTACCCCATCCACAGCCTCCTCCTTCCCGCTGATTTACCTCCCCTCCCTCCAGCCCCATCCCTCTCCCTCAAACGACCCTGTCATTTATACTCCAGAAAAACGCAGACATGCAGGTGGGAACGTATAACATCCTAGCAAGCAAACAAATGAACATCATCAGCAAACCAGCCACCCTTTGTCATACTCTAAGGGATCTTCAAGGCTTGCTCCAGTAGGGCAAGGCAGTATCCCAGGGACATGTCCTCGCATGGGGCGCCCACGGGCGGGTTCTCCACGTGGGCTGCCTCGTTACACTTTGTCATGTAGCTTACAGCTTGCCCACGTTGCATTTGCTACCGACCAGCGCTGGCGGAACTGGTGTAGGAACTCGTCCCTGAGTTCGTTGTGAGTGTTTGTTCTTCCCCCCCGCTGCTATGCTCCCTCGCTGCTGTTCCTCTGTTCTGACTTCGTCCACACCCCAATGAACATGCACACTGCTCGCTCAGTACCCAACCCGCCCCCCACGCTTCAACCTCCCTTCCCCCTACCTCCCTCAGGGAGTCCCTCCTGCCTCACCCCTGCCTCACCCCTCGCTTCTCCTCCTCTGCCCTCTTCGGCCTTCCCTCCCCCTTCCCTCCCCCTTCCCTCCCCCTTCCCTCCCCCTTCCTTCCCCCTTCCCCCCCCCTTCCCTCCCCCTTCCCTCCCCCTTCCCTCCCCCTTCCCTCCCCCTTCCCTCCCCCTTCCCTCCCCCTTCCCTCCCCCTTCCCTCCCCCCACCCTTCCCCCTGCCTGTCCCCTGCCTACCCCATTCCCCACGAGCCCCTGGCAGCGCGGGTGCTGGAGGAGTGCGCTACAGCATGGGACTTCTTGGGATGGGGCGGTTCGCCGAGCAATTGGCGCGTGGGGGGCGACTGTGACGCTACTCCCATTTACATAAAATGCGATGCCAACGGGTTCATCACTGACTTGAATGTCGACAGCACAACTAATCCCAACCCTGATTGGGACTACAACCAGTCTGATTACGGAAGGCCGCCGGAGTTCGGGTAGGACGGAGGGGATGTGGGAAGAGGATGGGAGGGAGGGAGGGAGGGAGGGAGGGAGGGAGGGAGGGAGGGAGGGAGGGAGGGAGGGAGGGAGGGAGGGAGGGAGGGAGGGAGTTCTGCGACTCCCAGGGGAGGGCACGGTGGGTCACAATGACCACTGAGATTTTGTCTCTCTGCTGTAGCTATGCTTCACTCTTCTGCTGCTTCTGTGCCTGTTCGTGTGTGCGTTTGCGTGTGCGTGCGCGTGCGTGCGTGCGGGTGTGTGTCTGTGTGTGTGCTTGTGTGCGCTCAACACAACACAACAGGTTGATTCAAATGCCACTTCTAACTGGATCCATTCCATCATCGCTTGGCACTCTCACCTCTCTCACCAGCCTGTACATCTCACAGCTGTCTAAACGCCTCTCAGCTGTCTGTACACTTCCCTCATCACTCTGATTTTGCAGCGCCTTCGTGCCATTACCACTCTCTAACCTCTTGTACCACTCTACATGGCTCCATACGCTTTCACACATACCTGTTGTGTGGTCTTTAAGGCATCTCGAGGCTGCTTCTGTATCACGCACGCATCTAGGGGACCCTGTGTGTGTGTGCCCTTCCTGTCCAGCAGTAGCCCTTTCCATCTCCCCGAAACACCTTCGGGGGGACGAAGCACTCAGGGGGTAAAAAAATATCTCTTCATCTGTCGCATTCTCCATCTCTTTTTTTCTCACGCCTCACCCCCTCTCTGCTGTGCTACGACTTACTCTGCGACCCTTTCAGGCTCCTCACCAGCGGTATTCCTCCCTGCCTCTGCCCTCTGTACTCCGTCCCCACTACTTGCCCCATCCCACACCCTCTGTGATGTGATGTCATCCCATGTGCGCATCCACACCCTTCGCCTCGCCCATTCTCACCGTCGTCTCGTCTGCTTGTTTGATCCCCACTTTCTGTGTGCTGTGCTGCAACTTGCTCAGAAGTATGTGGAACAACGCCCTAGAGGGCCCCATCCCGGCATCCTTCAGCATGCTCACCTCTCTCGTCTACCTATAAGAGACAGGCGGACACATGTAGGGCCGTGAGAGGGAGGGAGGGAGGGAGGGAGGGAGGGAGGGAGGGAGGGAGGGAGGGAGGGAGGGTGGGGGGGGGAGGGAGGGAGGGAGGGAGGGGTGACTCCCATGCCATGTCTCACTCCCATGCCATGTCTCTTTCCCGTACCATTTCTCAGTTTTATGTCTCACTCCCATGCTTTCATCCATCATATCACTGGGGGATGTAGCATTGGCAACTGTAGCGTTGGGCAGTGCAGCATTGCATAGTTCAACATTGGGGAAGGACACATTAAGGGGCGCAGCATTGAGCAGCACAGTATTGGGGCAGTGCAGCACTGGGCCGCACGGCATTGGCCAACGTAGGATTGGGCCTGCAGCATTGGGTATCATTGCAGCATTGGCCAAGACAAGAATGTGCATCTTGGGCAGTGCAGCATTTGGTAATGCATCAACGAAATTGTTCAGCAGCGCGGTATTTGGTATGTGAAGCATTGGTCTAGCAGCGCCACATTGGTCAGCGTGGTATTGGGCAACGCAGCATTGGTCAGCAGAGCATTAGACAACGCAGTAGTGGGCAGGGCAAGGGTGCGCAATGCAGCATTTGGTAGTGCAGCATTTGGTAACGCATCATTGGGCTGCGCAGCATTGGCCAGCACAACATTGAGCAGTGCACACATTACTGGGCATGGCAGCATTCGGTACACACAGCATTGGCAATACAACATTGCGCAGCGAAGCAGTATTCAGCACGGCATTGAGCAACACGGCAGTGGGCAACGCAGCATTGGAATCGCAGTATGGGCCATGCACCATGGGGCAGTCTTGCATTGAGCAAAACGATTATGGGTTGCACAGCATCGGGCAGTGCAGCATCGTCTCAAGCCAAATCTCCACAACCCTCCATCTCCCATGGCCTGCATGTCCCCGTCGCAGCCATCTCTCCAAGAACCAGCTGTCTGGTGCCATTCCACCTGGCATAGGCGCCCTCACGGCCCTCCAAGAGCTGTAAGTGTGCCAGTCATTGGCAATCAAGCAATCCATGGCTCCCTCCTGTGCCATGTCTCTCCCCCATCCCATGTCTCTCCCCCATGCCATGTCTCTCCCCCATGCCATGTCTCTCCCCCATGCCATGTCTCTCCCCGATGCCATGTCTCTCCCCCATGCCATGTCTCTCCCCCATGCCATGTCTCTCCCCCATGCCATGTCTCTCCCCCATGCCATGTCTCTCCCCCATGCCATGTCTCTCCCCCATGCCATGTCTCTCCCCCATGCCATGTCTTACTCCCATGTTGTCAGTCACCATACCCCCACGTGCCATGCCAATGTCCCAATTACTCCACATCTCCCCTAGTACGCACGTCCACTGTCACAGCAGCCGTTTCTCCAACAACCAGCGTCACATCTCATACCTATGCCCAACCTGCCCTTTATTCCCCACATGCCCTTTTATTCCCCACATGCCCCGTGCCCCACATTTCCCGTCGTAGCTATCTCAGCGACAACAAGCTCTCTGGTGCCATTCCCCCTGCCATAGGCGCCCTCACATCCCTTTGTTACCTGTGAGTGTGACAGTCATTGGCAAACAAGCAGCCATAGACGACCGAGCAACACAGGCATTGGCACTCTTTGTGGAAGGGCAGCAACCATAGGGAACCTGAAAAAGGGCTTGAGCTAGAAAGCTAAAACAAATACGGAAATAAAATACGACCTCAGCTAAAACAAATACTGCTTCACTAAATGAAATAATGGTGCAACTTGTAAAGGGAGTTGGAGACTCCATACAATCTCCAAACCTTTCCTAGAGGTAAGACGATCCCAAGCGTCGTCATCAGGACCGTTGATAAGCCATGCATCGCCCACACCATTGACTTTTTCAAGTTACCTGAGCACCTTCATGCAATAGAATCGTTACCCATGTAAGAAACACGTGAGCTGAAACGATTTTCAGCTGAAACTCATTTCTGACGCGCCTCAACAACCATAGAGGACCCAGCAATCCGTAGTGGGGGAGCATGGAAGGGCAATGTTGCCTTAGGTGTGTGCCTGCCTTGGTCCTCACGTATAGTGATTGGCCCTCATAAGCGCCCTCACGGCCCTCCAAGAGCTGTAAGTGTGCCTGCCATGGGCCACCAAGCAACCATTCATCACCAAGAAATCCATGCCTCCCTCCCATGCCATGTCTCCCTCCCTCCCATGCCATGTCTATCTCCCATACCATGCCTCCCATGCCATGTCTCACTCCCATGCTCTCACCATTCCCCCCACGTGCCATGCCAACGTCCCAATCACTCTCCATCTCCCCTGTCCCGCATGTCCCCGTCACAGGAGTCTCTCCAACAACAAGCTGTCTGGTGTCATTCCCCCCACCATAAGTACCCTCACATCCCTCAGATGGATGTAAGTGTGCCAATCTTTGTCAGCCAAGCAGTCATAGGCAGCCAAGCAGCCCATGCCTCAATCCCATACCATGTCTCACTCCCATGCCACGCCTCACAACATGCTCATGGAAAGCATTCCCGCGGGAATGGGCAACTTGGTTCAGCTTCCGCATCTCCCATGGCCCGCATGTCCCCCATCGCAGCCATCTCTCCAACAATCAGCTATCTGGTGCCATTCCCCCCACCCTAAGCGCCCTCATGGCCCTCCAAGAGATGTAAGTGTGCCTGCCATTGGCCACCAAGCAACCATTCATCACCAAGCAACCCATCCCTCCCATACCATGCCTCCCTCCAATGCCATGTCTCCCCCCCATGCCATGTCTCCCTCCCATGCCATGTCTCCCCCCCATGCCATGTCTCCCTCCCATGCAATGCCTCCCTCCAATGCCATGTCTCCCCCCCATGCCAAGTCTCCCTCCCATGCCATGTCTCCTCCCATGCCATGTCTCCTCCCATGCCATGTCTCCCTTCCATGCCATGTCTCCCTTCCATGCCATGTCTCCCTTCCATGCCATGTCTCCCTTCCATGCTATCACCATAACCCCAACGGGCCCTCCATCGCCCATGACCCGCATGTCCTCATCGCAGTCAACTCGATAACAATCAGCTGTCTGGTGCCATTCCACCTGGCATAAGCGCCCTCACGGCCCTCGAAGAGCTGTAAGTGTGCCAGTCGTTGGCAATCAAACAATCCATGGCTCCCTCCTGTGCCATGTCTCTCCCCCATGCCATGTCTCTCCCCCATGCCATGTCTCTCCCCCATGCCATGTCTTACTCCCATGTTGTCAGTCACCATACCCCCACGTGCCATGCCAATGTCCCAATTACTCTGCATCTCCCCTAGTGCGCACGTCCCCTGTCACATGTCATACCTATGCCCAAACTGCCCTTTATTCCCCACATGCCCCGTGCCCCACATGTCCCGTCGCAGCTTTCTCGACAACAACAAGCTGTCTGGTGCCATTCCCCCTGCCATAGGCGCCCTTGCATCCCTTGGCTACCTGTGAGTGTGACAGTCATTGACAAACAAGCAGCCATAGACGACCGAGCAACATAGGATATCCGCTGAATGCGCCCATCACGAAGACCTGGAGAACAACAAGCTGGGAGGCACCATCCCTGACGCTCTGAGTACCCTCACCAACTTGGTCCACCTGTCAGCCGCTCGCCCCCTCCCACGCCCTTCCCTGCCTCACAGCCCATTCATACCCTTCCCTCGGGTTCATGCCACAACTGTGCATCACATCCCTCGAAATCATGTAAGTGTGCCAATCTTTTGTAGAGAAGGCACTAGGCCTCAAGTACAAACGAGGTTGGGTTGGGCAAAGCTAGGGAAAGGATGGGATGGGAATCCTAGCAAATTTCCAATTGATGAGTTGGCAGATTTGCAGGATTACGAGGGAATCTCAACAAGATAGGGTTGGGATTTTAAACTACACCCAACCCGCAAATAACCTTCGCGAGGTAGAATATAGTACACAAAGTGTTGACAGCCTAATTCTAACATCTTTGTCTGCCAAGCAGTCATAGGCAGCCAAGCAGCCCATGCCTCAATCCCATACCATGTCTCACTCCCATGCCACGCCTCACAACATGCTCATAAAAAGCATTCCCGCGGGAATGGGCAACTTGGTTCAGCTTCCGCATCTCCCATGGCCCGCATGTCCCCCGCCGCAGCTTTCTCTCCAACAACCAGCTATCTGGTGCCATTCCCCCCACCCTAAGCGCCCTCACATCCCTTGAGTACTTGTGAGTGTGCCAGTCATTGGCAACCAAGCAGCCATCTCCCCTGGCCCGCATGTCCCCCGTTACGTGTCATGTCAAGGCCCAAACTGCCCTTTATTCCCCACACCCCATGCCACACATGTCCCGTCGTAGCTATCTCTCCAACAACCAGCTGTCTGGTGCCATTCCCACCCCCGATAGGCGCCCTCACATCCCGTTGGCAACCAAGCAGCCATAGACGAGCAAGCAACATAGGCATTGGCACTCATGCTTGGAAGGGCAGCAACCATAGACGACTTGGAAAAACAGCAACAGCAACAGCAACAACAACAACAACAACAACAACAACAACAACAACAACAACAACAACAACAACAACAACAACAACAACAACAACAACAACAACAACAACAACAACAACAACAACAACAACAACAACAACAACAGCGACAGCGACAGCGACAGCGACAACGACAACGACAACAACAACAATCTTAGCTAAAATATTTTCCCCCGCACTGCATGCTGCGTGGAAGGGACAATCCCTACCTTTCTCTCTTCCTTCACTGCACTCTCCCACCTGTCAGTGCTCCCACACACTCACCTGTCAAGGCATAGCCACCAGAACCGCAATCATATCCTTTCCTCCTGTGAGCATCGACCCCAACACCCACCCAGATTGTATTTCCACACCTTCTCCTTCGTCCAACCTCCCTCCCTCTCTGCCTCCCTCCCTACCTCCCTCCCTCCCTCCCTCCCTCCCTCCCTCCCTCCCTCCCTCCCTCCCTCCCTCTCTGCCTCCCTCCCTCTCTCCCTCTCTCTTGCCTCCCTCACGCCCTGCTGGCTGCTGTTGCCCGACCGCCCCCCAGCGCGCTCCACAAAAACCAGCTCTCAGGCTCCATTTCTGCTGACATTGGCAACCTCGCTGCTCTGGAGACACTGTGAGCACCGCACTGTACCACACTGCATTTTCCCCCTTCCTCCCTTTCCCATTCCCTCCTTTCCCCATTCCCTCCTAAACCCCATTCCCCATTCTCTCCTCCTCCCACAATTTACCTTCTCCATTTCTGGTTCAATGCACTGCATCCATTTGCACCGCACATCACCCAGGGAGCTTTCCAACAACGCCATATCCGGCCCGATCCCCGCCGCCCTGGGGAACCTCGTCCACTTGAAAAGCCTGTGAGATTCACGATCCATGCAGTGCGCGTGGGGGAGAGTGCGATGTGCAGGTGGGTGCACTGTCCGCCACTGCAACGCAACGCCAGTGGTGCACTGCAATATGGGAGTGGCAGGTATGCACTGCAATATGGGAGTGGCATGTATGCACTGCAATATGGGAGTGGCAGGTATGCACTGCAATATGGGAGTGGCAGGTATGCTCTGCAATATGGGAGTGGCAGGTATGCTCTGCAATATGGGAGTGGCAGGTATGATCTGTGGCTGATCAGGGTTTCAGGTCCACTGAGGCTGCTGCGGCAGAAGCTGCTGTCTCCCGCCTGCTGTCCCCAAGGGTGGACGCACACTTTGTCTTTGCCTTGGAGGCAACAACTTGAGTGACCCCATACCTGCTGGCCTGGGCAGACTTGTCAATCTGACGTCCCTGTGAGTAGTAGCACAACCTGTCCCTTCAACATCCACTACAAGCCTAGATGTGACTGCTTTCCTGGCAGTGCTCTTACAGCTTCCATATTTCGTGCTTGGGTCCTATTAGTACATCCCGCATCCTTCTATTCTTGCCCCTTCATCGAAACATTGGCACCATAGTGGTGTTGACCGGCCTCCCTTCTAGCACCATCATGTTACGTACTGCAATGTCTGTTCTTAACGCAAACATGTATAGTTAGTATGGTTCTTCTACAAACAAACCAGTTTCTGATTTGCTCCACATTGACACTGCATGTGGTATATGACCAAATATGTACAGAATGATCTCGGACTGGCATAATAATTTAACGTACATGATTGTTGGAATATTTGTTCCTGTGGGGTATTATGTCCCACATGTATTCCATTGCTCAAAGGACACTTGCAATTTTCATCGCGTTTATGTGTTTCTGTGTACACGTAATCTTGGTTGACATGAAGCTGTATCCGATCTTGTCTCTACGGGGTAGAAGCTTTTCTGACAGAATGGCACAATAGAACCAACAGGGGATTCGGCAGCACGTTTTTGTGAACAGGAAATTTATGATAATTCATATGTTGATAGCCTGGGTGTACGTTGCAGAAAGGTATACTCAGGTACTTGTTGTTGTTCAGGTACTTTGTTTTACCTGCTCGAGCAGGTTTTCTCCTCACAGAGACAAATCGTGTTCATGAAATTTGAACGCTTGTGTATTCTTTCCTCCCTTCTCCCATTCTTCTCCCTCCCCACTCGCCCCCAGAGACGTCTCAGGCACGCGGCTGACCTGCCCTGCAGGGGGCAGCAAGTGTGTGGTGCAGCAGAGAAAGACCACCAGGTTCTGCCGTCTCTGCTTCTCTTTCTGCTCCTCGTGCACGCCCCGTAGATGTAAGTCCTCTTTATGCAACAACAGCACACGCACGCACGCACGCACACACGCACACACGCACAAGAGTGATGCCACAATGACTTTAATGAAACCTTCCATAAACAGCTAGTTTTTTCGGAGTAGGCTTGCCTTGCAGATTATGATTCAACTACGCCCATTCTATATGTGTGCCATTATTCTAGTGTCAGCAGCACCCACAGAAGCACCAGCATCGGTTGAAGCACCAGCATCAACTGAAGCACCAGCATCAACTGCAGCGCCAGCATCAACTGCAGCGCCAGCATCAACTGCAGCGCCAGCATCAACTGCAGCGCCAGCATCAACTGCAGCCCCAGCATCAACTGCAGCCCAAGTGTCGGCTGCAGCTGCAGCATCTAAGGCCCCATCAGCAACTGCCCCTGGCATGCTTATTGCTGCTGCCATCAACTTCTCTGGCGTTGCTGCTGTTGCCACCCTCTCGCTCCTGATGTTTGGATTGTGAAGTGAAGCCAACAGTTTTCACGTTTGTATGGACTGTTGTGGGCTGTTGGCTTTGTGTGATGGTATCCAATCCAAGTCTGAAATAGCATGCCCAGGTTTTTCTTCACCTGTATGTGCTGTAGCTCCCTCAGGAAACTCAATCATTGTTGTGGACAATACTAGATATGATAGGAAGCATTTGGGGTTTGTGAGTATTTGGGGTTTGTGGCTAGCATACACGCATCGTGACTAGATATATCGTGAGTCAGTTGTGTACACTTATGCATGACAGTGGACTGCGTGGAGTCTGGGTTTGTGATTTCTAGCAAGTTTTAGGTCATTATAGGTTACACCTTCTAAAAGGCTAATTCTGGCTGATACATTCTTTGTCGTGGACAACCTCACAAATTTTGGTGGGTTATGGATATCTCTTGGTGGACAACACTCTTAGAAACTTTCTTGATCCTAGCATGGCTAATGGCCTCCCAAGATACCGTATTCTCCTGGACATAACACACTAGGGTAGATATAAAAATACAGGAAAAAAAGGGGGGTGTCTTCTCATAGGAAAAAGTTACATAATACCCGGGAGCATATATATGGTATATTTTAGTGTAACAGTTTTTTTATTAGACAAGTTGCGTGTTCCCATGGGCGTTTTAGCATAGCATGTTGAGGCGCGAATAGGAGTTTCGATGTGAACGTCATCACCCCCTCGAAAATGTCATATGGCACCTGTCTGGCCACTTGCAGCGGAAGATTCGCAAGCACGTGGCGATAGCGAAATGGTGGGCGGCGGGGCAATCTCGGCAGATTCGAAGTGAAAGAACCTCGAAATTTCATCGAGGGAGGGATTTTCGCGATATCCTCCCATACTTGCACCTACTCGTTAACAAATGTAATAAAGAATCTGTAAGAAGGGGAGGGGGGTGTTATAAAAAATCAGCCAAAAAGAGAAGTATAGTGAAATCGAGGTCGCCCATAGCACCCACCCCGCACAAGCTACCCGGGGGTGCTCTAACATGGGGGGGTGTTTTGTCCGGAAGAACCTTATACTGTATTTAGACTGAGGTGGTCCTAAGAGTCGACTGTGTACATTCAACGTCAAGGTCGAATAGTTATTTCCACTCACCCTCGCACTCAGCCACACACTCACCCTCGCACACCAATGCACCCCGCCACACACATAGCCACGCAATTGCCCTCGCACTCACCCTTGCTCTCACCATTTTCTGGCCAAAAAAATTACTAAGAGGAAGAAGAGGTTGCATTGAAAGAAGCAAGAAAGAAATACAAGAAAACACGCAATC